TGGGAATTTGAGAATGTTTGGGATGCGATTTTCACCACCCAAATGCAAATTTTTGCTCCAGGACTGGTCTTCAGCGGTACCGCGGTTAACAATAGAGAGTGAAGTGGTTGAGTGTGTTGACCACTTCACTTACCTGGGAAGTAGGATCAACCCGGTGGGTTAGTTGCCGATGAGATTTCTGCACGGATACAAAAGGCTCGATTGGCTTTTGCCAATTTGCGCCACCTATGGCGCCGCCGTGATATTCGTTTGTCTATTAAGGGTCGCGTGTACTGCACAGCAGTCCGCTCTGTTCTACTGTATGGCTGTGAAACATGGCCATTGAAAGTGGAAGACATGAGAAGGTTACAGGTATTTGACCACCGTTGCCTTCGTAGTATAGGACGTATTCCGTGGTGTCACCATGTGAGTAATGCAGAAGTTAGGTGTAGAGTTTTAGGGAGAAGAGGTAAGTCAGTCGACGAGGTTGTGAACCTTCATCGACTGAGATGGTTGGGACACGTACTACGTATGCCTAGTCACCGATTGCCTCGTCACACAATGTTGGCTGAGGTGGGTTCAGGCTGGAAAAAGGCCCGAGGTGGCCAGACTAAAACATGGCACCAATGTATGAAGTCTCTGACTGTTGGTTTAAGCCATGTAGGACGATGCAGACTAGGTGGTTGGGGTCCACGGGACAAGAGGAACCAGTGGTTGGAGACCCTAGGTGATATGGCTCAGAACCGAAGTCAGTGGCGCAGATGTATACACACATTATCCTCATCTTAACAACGCTATACCGAATCTCACTATTTTGTCACTCCTCTTTCCTTTCTTCTCGTACTTTATATTTCTTTTGACTGCATTCACTTATCTTCATCCTTCACCTCACTACCTTTTTACTTGATGTGCTGATATGAGGTGTGGCAACTCGGACCGTTACGCAGTAATGCCTGGTCCTATGTTGATAATAATATAATAAATAATCCTTAGCTATCTCTTCCCTAAATGCGTACTTGACTTTCTCATCTTCCAACCGAGCATAGACAGCTTTTTCTGTAGCTTGTTTCCTACGACCAGTAAGGCACAGACAAACAGGAGCCCGTAATAGTGCATGATCCGAGTCCAAACTGGTACTCTAGAAAGGGCAGCAATCCTCCATCGATCCTCTTCAAAGACTGCTTATAGCAGTGTTATGTATCCTTGTCCGTCGTTTGTTTGATGTCGGCGGACGTAAATACAACAAAGATGCCCTTCTGATTAGCTCAGCTTACCTTTAAAGTCACCTCCCATTATGACTACATCTTAACGGTTTGCTTTCTGTAGTAACATTGACAGCTTTTCATAGAATTCATCCTTTGAATCATGCGAACTGCAGTCGGTGGATGCGTAGGCGCAGATTACAAATAGGCATGGATTGGTCTCACGATCCTTCTTAGTCCTTACAAATTCATTTAGTCAAACAGTATATAAACAACTGTTCACTGGCATCCAGTCGAGAAATGCACTTTCTGTCCTACAGCTCAGTGCTATGACTACACCAGAGAGTCACCAAGAGCTAGCGGCTAAGTCACCGGGAACTAGGAGAGCGAATTTTGAAGATTCACCGAATTAGTCAGGTGAGATCAATTTAATAACTACACTGAAAGCAACAGTCTGCATTTAGTTGGTGAGAAACGCACTTTAAGTGCTCTCGAATCGACACTCAAAGTTATCAGAAGACTCTGCATCTTGGCAGTGTCTCGCCCTAACAGGACTATGTCACCTGGATACTCTAGGCCTACCAATGATCATCTAGTGATAAAATCGATTTCCATAAATTCAGATGACAGGAGAAAAACCTCTATAGGAACATGAATCTGAGTAATACAGGAGAGGGTGGACATCCTCGACAGACACCACTCAACGTTTACAACTCAACATAGACTTTAACACTCCCACGAGTGTTCAAATACAGAGTTTTCAACAGAGTGATGTACTTACTTGGCACTTTTTTTAGTAAGATACAGCGAGACCTCTTAATTGACAGAGTCGAATGTCGCCTTTAGGTCGAGAAACACACCCAGAGTCAGGTATCAGTGTGTCTGTGTTCCAGAAACTGGCAGAGGTTGAGTATCTGGGTAATAAACCCACAGCCAGGCCTAAAATTTACCTGGTTTACTCAGGTCTACTGTTTCCGAGCTCCAATTAGACGTCTAATAATAATAGAGCCTAAAATCTTAGACATAACGTTTGTCACTGATTTCTTTGTGGTTATGAAAAAAGGAGTTCTGGCCTTTCTTGAAGACTATGACAACTAGCGGTTGATACTAGTCAAAGGGGATCATATCTGACTCCCATATAGTGAAAAACACTCGAGTTAACCCATCTAATAATCTGCGACCACCATCCTCAAATACCTATAGTACTAGTCCATCTCCTCCCATTGCTCTTTCTCGTTTCACGTTGATACAGCTACAGGTCGACTTCTGTAAGTGTTCAGGATTCTGTCTCAATGTTCTACCTAGGACTTAATTGGATAGCGGGCAGCGCGATAGTAGCCGGAGGCCACCTGACCTGTTCCTCGGTGTTCTGTCCACCGTTCCAGTTGTTCCTTCGAGTGAATCACAGACCGATCCTGCCCCCTTATAATCTCACTAACCATTGACGTTTATGCCCCCAAATGCCTATTTTTACCTATCGCCACTGCCTTTTCTGCCTCTAGTTTTAGCTACCGTCGATATTTGTGGTCATTGTGTAGATCCTTTGTCATTGTATTTGAGCTATTTTCACTCCCCACTATGCTCGAAGTTATTGAGACCCACTGGTCCTTTCTAACCACTTTCTGAGAGTCAGCTACATCTTTTGATGCTGTTTCGACATCGTACTGGAGATGGCGCCAAGCTTCTGGGTGAGTGATGGATTCTGTACCAAAAATTATCTAACCAGTTCCTAGCTGAAGGCAGCAAGCGCGTAATCCCTATCCAAACACGTGCTCCAGAAAGAGTGCTAATATTATACCGACTCGCACAAGCGATAAGTGATGGCAATATGGTTTACCTATGTTTATCGTTGAGTTGACGCTGGCGAACATCACATCAGACGATGTCCCTCTTCAAGTCTGAAGTTCGTGCTGGCCATAAATATATGGTTGTCTGATCACAATTGTAGCAGGGAATTACATCACACATCCGTCGCTTAAGATGCTAGAATTCTGGCTAATGACCCTTGACGGATGGTGTGGACATTGGGAACTCCAATATTCAGTTTGGAGCACAGTTTTAGAAGACTGGGAGTGGCGTTTGGTGAACCCACGTCTAGTTCAAGAGCCGTAGGGCTGGAAGAACGTCAAGAGGATTTAGTAATGTTGATCGAAAGATTTCAAGAAAGACTAGAACGTAGAGGTTGATGATGATCTGAGAGAAATTAAGTGCTAAGAGAGTTGTGAGGGTGATCAATGCTCCCCGGCAGCCTGTATTATAGAAGGATAGTTCTCCTTGAGGTACCTGAAAAAAGGTTAGTGCACGACCAAAAGACCCACGGAACATTTGCTTCAGACTCATCACGCACTGCGTTTCTGGAAGTCTGAGATTTGTGTCTGTTAGCTCCTACTCAGAAAACAAATCACGGAGCCAGTATACTACAAGATGCGGCAGCTTGGACCATTACATATTAATGCTATGTCTGACGTTGGTGTTAGCTTACTGACTACGATTGTTTACAACAACTGTAGAGGTGAAAGGAGTAAGATGTTGTCAAAAGAAATGAAGGATACATGTTGCATAAGCATCTGTTAACGCTAAGACAGCTTAGAAAATGAAACAGTGTTGTATTATGAAAATGAAGTGAAATATACTCGATAACTACATAAACATCCATGCAGCAGGTAGTGAGCCACATCTATTGTATGAGTGTTACTAGCTCAGTTTAGCTGTCCAAACCTTGGTAGGTTGAGCAGGGTTCGACCTCATGACACAGGTCGGAAGTCGACTGCATAAACTAAAGGGCCAAAGCCCTACACTGCAACTCACTGATCTGAGATGATATCACAAATGAATCCAAATTAAAAGTAGTGGTGAAGATGGTGAATTTTTCTTGTGTCCTCGGTTTACGAAACAAAAATAAATGATGGAAGATTTTTAAAACGTACTTATACAACCGACTGTAATGCAGATATCTCCCATCTCTTACCACTTATTGACATTTTTTTATGATGAATAAGACTGAGACAGTACTATCTAACCTTTACATTTCAATAAAAATAAGACATAAAGTAGTGGAAATTATGACGTAGTCTAATCGCACGAGATTCAAAATCTGAGTGCTTCCCAATCACTTTCAACTGAAGTTGATGCTTAAATTGACCAGTTAGGTGGGTGGATACGACACCTTTTTTACTAAGTGATAAGAAAACGTTTGTCATCTAGGTATCATAACTTTGTATGACACAGGATACGATTATTTTCAAACACAACTAAAGCTTATCATCTAGAATATTGAGCTAGAAAAAAGATACTTCTATTCAGGGATGAAAAACATTTAGTTACGGTCTAGTATGTGTCCGCCCTAACAGTAAATCATAATCTTCCAAATATATTGGGGTTTCAAGTTGAGTAATAAACCAGGAAAGATGTGAATAGGTACCATTTCGGTGATGGACTACAAACATCCATTCTGAACATTATACCAGGCAATACTGTAGAAAGTGAGGACTGAAAAAACTCAGGAAAGCAAGATAAAGCACGATAAAATTGTGCAGGACGACTAAAATCATACACAACACTTTAGAGTAAGTACTGGAGCCAGCGAGCTTATCAGTTTCCTAAAAATCTATGAACTGAGAACACTTGAGGGACCAGAGACAAGAGACGAGAAACCTAAAATAAATTGCCTGTTACAATGATAACTGCACTAATTTCATTTGCAGATGCAGTCAATGCCACCTACATAAGACAGCTAATATTATTATCCTCCGAACTAAGAAAATGTGACAGACTATTTATACAATAACCAACTTGGAACAAAAGTAAATTTCGACTAACCGTTGAAGTTCACCCTGGGTTTCTTCGAATTTTGCATATTTAATCCAGTTTTGCATAGCCAACCTGTTCTTTCTTATATTGTCTTCATAGTCTTTCCTTTTACGTAATTGGAAGTCCCTCAACTCCGAGAGACTGGTAATTTTTTGCTGGGGTGCTTTTGGTGTGACTTCTAGTTCCTTTCTTTTGCTTCTCTGAGAAGTTGTTCGGCTGTTATTTGCACAGCAGCTGGCATTTTGTTCTTAACCTGCAAAACTCCATATGAAAAGACATGACTTACTCTAGCAATTTTCGCCCTTTTATTTTTAGGGACGCCAGAGTCCTCAACAGCTTTCTTTTCCGTCATCATCATGTTATAAGATACCCCGGGGTACCAATTACCACGAACAAATGCAACGCACCGTTTACAAATCCCAGTAACTTACGCGTATCCAAATTTCAATGCACTGTACAAACAATGCGGAACATCATTATTCATAATTAAAGATATTGACCCAGTTGGCCTGTGCAAAGCATTGAAGAAGAACCTTCACGTGACACACTAATGGACAGTCAGTCCCAGAGTGCGGAGCAAAGTCATATGGATCAGTAGTGATTCATAAATAAAGATTCGGAATTCCGTTTTCCCTAATGAGGATTACAGACTGGCCGGCCTGTTTTAATCTTTGCAGTCGGTTTCTCTGTGTAGATCTAGTTCCTTCTTGGATGCGTCCATCAAAGTATCTGATAACGCTTTTTGAGTCAGAAGCTTCATTCACTGACTATTCTGTATGTGAATTGTAACTTCACACTAAATTCTTTCAGCTGTGAATTTTAGATCTTCTTGTGGTGGCCTCGAAGAAGGTCAATCCTTTGAGGAAGGGAGAAAGGATACATATCAATACCAGGGTCATTGCTAAGACTATGGAACGTTTAGTTTAGATCCCTTTCCTCTGCCAAAAAACAATGAGAAAAGACAGTCTCTGTGATCGATCCTCACAAGATACGATAGACAGATCAGCCACCAACTTTAAGCCAAGTACTTGAAAGCATTCCTGTGCTTAGGCGTCTTACATGGATCCAGAAACGGACACTTGGATGCAACATACGAAATGGAGTGACACAAATATGGAGTGAAGTATCCGAAACATATCTTCATGAAAGCGTTTGAATGCCCTATTCAGAGGCTACAATACTCTGCACCCTGTTGCTGCAGCTTCAACGTGGTGTGCATACGTTCTCAAGTTGCGTACGATGACAGCTTTCAAGTCTTTAATTTCTTCCACGCCCGGTACTGGTGCCCGGTTTACCAGATACTGATGACGGTTCCTATGGCCAATATGCATGGCTGCACATTTGCAGGAATTTACTTCCACGCACCAATGCTTGAACCAATTAACTGGTGCATTCAGGTCCGCTTTCAGTCCAGGTCTGTCGTCATCGTTATGGGTTACCTCCCATGTGTTCACATCACCGGCAAATAACCTATTCATGCCGGGAGTTCATTGACACAGAGGAAGAAAAAGAGAAATCCCAAGGTTGTTTCCTCCTGGACCTTACAGCTGACCACGTAGATAATGTACCATTCACTCAATTTACGTCCTCCATGACAGGAAAATTCTGACTGAAGCCTGCCTTCTAATGTCACATCCTAAACTTGAGAGCTTCTTTGTTAGTCTGGCGTACGATGCCCTTCATGAAAGCCTTGGCGAAGTCGGCGCGGCGTCACACACTTCTCCAGAATCAGTAGCCTGGGTTCAACTAGATTCGACATTGATGCCAACCCTGGTAGTTTAACTGAACTGACTAAGCTGAAGGCACTCGGTCAGGCGCCCACGCCTCACGTTGCAGCGCCCATAATCGATCTCCTAACTAGTTAGTTGGAACCTATCGGTATCTTGGCCCAACCTCGCAAATACACTATCCCATCGGGCTACGCTACCGTGCTCTTTCTTGGCTCCGTATTCGTAGGCATATAACAAGCTCGAATGTTTAGCGGTTGACCTTTACATCTATCAAGTTCTCACGCGGACAGTTCGTAAACCAGATTGGTCGGTAGACGAAGAACCACTTGTCCTGTGACGTTCACTGGGCCCATCGTTTGGAGACGTTGAGGATCACTGTTCGGAATAATAGATTATCCGTCTGCTGAGATGGTCTGAGATTAGACCTTGCCAACTCTTTTGAATTCTCAGCTGACAGAAGAGACGGGACTGCATTCATAACTTTCGTTCCGCTCTAAGCGTAGGAAAACGACCGCTTCTGACAGATCCTAAAGCTTATCGTAAGTTTTGCGTTCTATTCTGCACATAGTAACATTTGATTTATACGTATCCCTCACGTCACGATGTGAAGTACTGAAAGCCTCACTGTCTGTTTCTTGGAATAGGTTCCACAGTCGTTCCCCCCTTATCTAGGTCTCAAAGTACTCTTATTAACCAATGGAGCCTGGTGGAAATGCCTGCGTTGATTTGACCACAAGGTAAACCGTGAGGTCACTCAGTCGAGTGTGGCGTTAAATTTTTCAGTAGCTCTCTGTGTAGATATGTTATTATCCACAGTCCAGTCTACTGTGGTTGCACACCCTGATGGCTGGAGTATCTGCGCGCCGGCCATTCCGTCTAGGGGGAACGGAATCATAATGTAAGTGGTACGTGAGAAACTTGAAAAGCACTAATGCGCGGCTGCTAATAGGCAGTGTAGATAGGCGTTATGGGTTGGTTACTTCCGCTCTTCGGCAGGTTAGAACCTAATCTAGGAGCGTTGGTGTACTCTGTAGATATGAATGCGTTACATCAATAGCACCATGAACCAAGGCCCCTACTAGAACTGGTAAAAGTAGGTGGCCGTTGAGGCAGATGCTCTGGCCAGCAGACGTAATCCGCTCCCAAATGATGTGAAGTGCACTCAGGTCAGACATCCAATACTATTACTTCATTTACGTATGTCCTTCATACTGGGGTCGTCTGCCATGCAGCATGGACTTTAGTATTTTAGGTCCATTTCAGCTACATCACCGACTGGCTTGACGTCCCAACCTGCTAACTCACACGTACTGTTTTCGTCTGCTTTCAGGTAAGCCGACTCTATACTCAAGTCCCGGTGAGTGTGCAACATAACTCCCCTACCCTAGGGGCCTAATGTTCCATCAACGCTGATATAGGAATAATCGGAGTGGGGAAGGGTGGAATCCATATCCCTCACAAGCCATGTTTCTGCCACCGTAGCTGCTTTAGGTCTTGACGCGCCGACAAAGTTTTTCAAATAGTTCAAGTGGTCATTTTCGGGATAAAAGAATCTCTCGATGAACTGGCTTTCGGTCCAGGATCGGGAGATCCCTATTTTCTGTAGTTGTTAGCCTACGTACAATTAAAGATACAGCGAAAAATGGTGATTAAGATGTAAAATGAATTTAGATCTCGGTAAATTACCCACTAAATCTTAAGTATGTATCACATTGGCGTGTAAAGGAACCAGATTAAGTAGCCTAAATCAATTCTTTACGGTGGGCTAACCAAGATTTAACTCTGATATTTAACCTTCTACGCCGTAGACTTAGTTTCCGTACATGTCTTCTGAGATTGCGCCTTCTGCTAAGATTCATTGTGTGACGGAGCTGGTGTCCAGGACTCCTCAGGATATTGCGAGTCAATATTCAGTACCCCCTGGTCTTCCTCGTTCCAGAAGATATAGGTCAGGCACAACCAGTCTTTTTTCATATGTTTCAGATCTAAGTCCTAGGACTGATTTTGCCTCCGGATGCTGTCTAAGCATGATTCATCTTTCTGCGGAGAGCGGAGAAAAGCATGATTGTGGACCGTGGGTGAGGCCTTATGAAACTGCTGAAAATTTAATGAAAACATCCGCGACCGGACTGTCGAGGGATTCCCCTGAGAGTTACCAATGCCAGGCTTCAGGAAATCCTTTTTTACTAAAGTTGGCGTAAGATTTTAAATCTTGGGAAACTAAGGCGCTTAAATCCTTCACCCTTAGCGACTTTCCAAATTCCATGCATTTAAGGCTATACATATGAAACGCATCCTGTTCTCAAAGAACAACCGTGAGTACGATGCAAGTTTGTTATTGGTTCACCAGCTTAAAAGTTGGGTTGAGTCTTCCCACGGAGAAAGTGTTTTTCCGACTTCTGCTTCCTATTCATAGCTTCACTTAATCAGTAAGAAGAAGAATTTCTGGAGAAATCCACTCATGCATTTCGTTTATATACACTGAAAACGAAAAGACCCTGGTACTAAACCTTGCGGAATTACACTAGGACATGTTATTCCTTCAGAAGTAGAAAACTTGACGAAACTGTAAATAAAAGACCTCGTAGATATGAGAACAACCAGCCAATGAGCGGTGGTTTGATCCAGACTTCAGTCCATTATTGAGGCAGTCGTGAATAACACGAGCAGTGGCTAACAGTGTTAGTCCATCTATCTAATGCTGTGAGTAGGTTACTAATGCCTTTTCCAACTCCACGTTGCTGGGGTATAATGAGCTTAGTTCTTAAGAGGTAATCCTGCAGTCTATCATGAACCAACGACTCCACTACTTCTGAAGCGATGGATGAAGGCGTTGCTGGTCCGCATTTCTGCAAGTGACATCCGCAGATGATTGATGCTATGTGATCTAACTTCTAGGGATTATAGACTTTCCATGAACTTAGGGAATCCTTAAATAACCTACTCAGAGGCTCGGCCAAGATTGATGCTCCTTCTTGCAGTATCACCACACGGACTTCATCTAGCCCCGGATAGGTATCTTTTGTGAACAGTAACGGTCTGCGTTGTACTGGCTCAACTCCCACGTCAACGACCGAAAATCCCACTTCGTTAGTGGGACACTTTTAACTCCTGAGTGGGCAGCTGATGACGAAGAGATTCTCAAACGCTAATGAGCTAGGAGTTCAGCTGCTTCACTATCATGGATAGCCAGCCCATTGGGATCTAGTAGGTGACAGACTCCCTCTGAAGCCTGGCGGAACGATGCAGCTTGGCGAGACAGGTATCTTGGGATGGAAATAAACATGGTCGTAAGCCTAACTTGATGCGCTGCCGAGCGGTTCTCACTGCCTTCG